TTAAGGACATCTTTCAGATCAAAGAGTAGAAATAAATTCAAACGTAGCATTTACAGATCTTTTGGCTCGCGGGGATCACATGAGAGAGAGAGAGAGATAGAGATAGAGATATAGATCTATATCTATATCTAGATAGATAGATAGATATAGATAGATATAGATAGATATAGATATATAGATATAGATATATAGATATATAGATAGATAGATATAGATAGATAGATAGATAGAGATAGATATAGAGATAGATAGATAGAGATATATCTATCTCTATATCTATCTATATATAGATATAGATATAGATAGATATAGATAGATATAGATATATAGATATAGATATATATAGATAGATATAGATATATAGATATATAGATATAGATAGATAGATAGATAGATAGATATAGAGATAGATATATCTCTATCTCTATCTATCTATCTATATCTATCTATATATAGATATATATATAGATAGATAGATATATAGATAGATATAGAGATATATCTATCTCTATATCTTTTTATCTCTATATCTATCTATCTATACATCTATCTATCTATCTATCTAGATATAGATATAGATAGATATAGATAGATATCTATAGAGATCTATAGATATCTATAGATATCTATAGATATCTATAGATATCTATAGATATATAGATCTCTATAGATATATATATGAATATGAATATGATGGATTACCAGGTTCCAGTAAATGCAACATTACATTTTAGGTCCTCTTCTGCTTTTATTATACATCTTAATATATTCACTACCGCTCTTATGTGGATGAAACACATAAAGAGCTTCTTTGATAGTCTGGATGATTGAAATCCTGAACAGCGAAACATTTCCTTAGACTAAATGATGCCACAGCTGGCGAAGCTCTATTAACATCCCAACTAAGGCACTTGGTCCTTTATCCACATATGTCCAAACAGTTGTTTAAAAATCTGGTGCAATTGCATTTAATCATTAGTTATTATTAATTGCTGGCTCTCTTCAACAGCGTCTTCTGTCCTGTCTTCCTCCCCTCGCTCCCCTCGCCTGGTTCTGCCAGAGGTTTCCTGCTAAAATGGAGTTTTTCCTTCACACTGTTGCCAGGTGCTTGTTCATCCAGGGATCACCTGATTGTTGAGGTGTTCCTCTGTGTTATTGTAGGGTCTTTAACCTACCTTTTTTTTTTTAAGTTTGTTTAGCTCAACAGTATATTACAGATTTTTTAACTCTGTATTTTGCCTCACTACCAGTGTCATCCTCCCAAAAGCTTGCAACCCCCCAATGATGGACACTTTTAAATTAGCTCTAAAGATCTACCTCCTCTTCACTTGCTTTTATGCGTCTTGCTATGTGAGTTTAGTGTTTTGAAACTGGTTTTTTGGAGCTCTTGAATGTAAATGCATTTGCCCAGAAAGCACTTTAGGTCAGTTGCAGTTGTTTTAAATATGCTATATAAATTAAATGAACATGCTGTGACTAGACAATAAGAAAAAGGACAACTTTAGAGGTATTTTATCAGGGAAGAAAAAACATTTTCAACTGCAATTACATTAACCTAAAAAGAATAAATTTGCAATGTATTTGTATCCAAGTACTGGAAGAGCCTGTTGTGTTAATGAAAGGGTCCACCAGATTCAGCAGTAGGCAGGCAGTTTGCTGTTGAAGGTTCAGCAGCTATAAAAGGACTGCTAAAGAAACAGGCTGACTCAAAATGCCAGCTGCTGTTGCTATTTAACTGGTGATATTCAGCATTTCAGGCTGAGAATTTATTCAGACGACATCGCAACTCAGCCGCTGAACGATGGGAATGTGTTGAGACTGGTCCTCTAGTGGAAGTTAAACATCGGTCAGGCTTTGCTGCTACTGGACAAAAGTCAGCATGAGATGCAGCTTTGCTAGAACTGTCCGGCCAAAGGTCAAAGGGGTCGCGCACGCATTACAATTGCATTGATCTGTATGTGTGTACGTGTGTGTGTGTGGTTTCTATGCTGCACCTGAAACGTGCCAAATCTAGAAGATCACTGTTGTGCTTGTGCCCGTGAGTGTGTCAGTACAGGCATGTGCTACATCTGACCATTTATCTTAGTATTTACCTTTAGACTGGCATTTACAGTGTTTTTCTAATCCCACAAACCACTCAAACCCAGCTTCTCAAAGCAAACTAACATGCTTTGCTGCTGTGCTAATATCTGCAAGTGGCATCTACATCTATGTGTCCGTCAGGTTTTTTTTTTTTATTATTATTATTTAGGAATGTATCTCTTTAATTAGCTGGGAAAAATACGAGTTAAAACCAGCTGCCTGAAATCTGAAAACAAATGTTCTGGTCTGACTGTACCATGGTGGTGGCAGAAGCCATGAGAACCACTCAGAAATTCCCTGATGGGAAAGAAAAACAAACAAAAAACACTTCTACAGTTTAGATTTTTATCAGCTGTTCAGCTAAAACAGTATATGCACACTGTGCAGTCACAAGCCTGCTGTTTTAAGGTTAAGCTTTTAAAAATAGATAGAAAATAAATTACAGAGTGCGTAAATCGGATGTGGACCAGGTTGTCTTTTTTCCCCTTTTCTTTTTTTCCCCTCATTTTCGTTTCAGAAGTGTTTTGTTTCTTTAGCTGAAACAGTGTACTGGTATTTTATACCTATTCTAAAACGATAAGGCATTTTACTTTTTTAAACATTAAAACATGGTTAGTTTTGATAAACAGTCTTGGACTGCTGTGGACTTTAAACCATAACAAGAACCTCCGTGAGCAGCAGATGCAGGCTGCTTAGTCATCACAGCTCCGTAGATATTCAAAGTGAGCCCAACAATTCACGCTTGTAAACAGCGGCGCACAAATCAATCCCCACTCAAGGTCCACTTTAGGGACGCACAGATTGTGAAATTGTTGCTCAGAACAATAATTTGGCTGATGACAGGGTTCTTTGTTTGTTTGTTTGCTTTTTTTGTTCGGATTTTATTTATACCAGCTTCTGAGGCAGGATAGCAGAGAAATCTTGTGCTGAGTGAACGCTCTCTGAACATTCGCCCAGCACAAAATGAATGTGACACAACACTGGTAAATGTCATCCTATTTGTCTTTAGGCCCACTGCAGTCTAGACAGCTTAGTTACAAACCTCACCTGCTGGAAATGTGCAGACCTCTTATATCATATAACTTAACTCTGTGATACTGACACATTAATGTACATTTACTGGAAAAAAAAAAAAGAATCTGCAGGCGTCTTTTTTGTATGTTTATAACATAGTGGGGCTTAACGACACAAAAAAGTTGGGATGCTGTGTAAAGTAAAGACAGAATGTAATGATTTATAAATCTAATAACCATTTTAAGGAGAAAAAAAAATTAGGGCTATTCTGTATTTAATGGCAGCAATGCGTCTTAAAAGGAGAGCAACAAAAGGAAGAAAGCTAAAAAGCACCAGCTGGAGGAAGACTGCAGCTAATCAGGTTAATTGGCAACAGGTGAGTGACGTGGCTGGGCGCAAAAAGAGGAAGACTTTGAAGATCTCATCATCGACAGCGATTGCACGAATCTGGAGAAATCTCTGTGCGCAAGGCCCAAAAATCAATATTCAGACAGCACTGCATTAAAAACAGATGAGCTCAGGAACACTTCACAGTGATTTCCATCCATAAATGCAGGTTAAAGCTCTACCACGCAGAAAAGAAGCTATATGTATTTAAATGTGAACATCAATGTTGAAAGGTATATTCAGGTTCTAGATTAACACGTGCTCTCCTCAAGATGAGGCTTTTCTTTCAGCTAATCCCTTGTACACTTCAACACGAAAATGCAAAATTGCACATTCCATTTATAACAAAAGAGTGTTGGAATGGCTGAACTGCAGTCCAGACCTTTGACCAGTATGTGTCTCATCATGAAACAAAAACAACACAGCAGATCCAGGAGTGTTGAGCAGCTGGAAGCCTCGATCGGACCTTCAGTCGCACAAAACTCCAGCAGCTGGTCTCGTCTGTTCCCAGATGTTTACAGGCTGCTGTTAAAAGAATCAGGGATGCTACACAGTAGTAAACAGGACCATTTCCCAACTTTATGAGTCATGCTGCTGCCATCAAATTCAAAATGACCATTTGATTTTCTCAAAGTCTGAGATCTGCAAACCATTGCATTCTGTTCTTACTTACATTTTACACAGCATCACTGCTTTTCTGGAATTGGGTTTCATCCATCCATCCATCCATGGATGGAATCATGTTTGTTCATATTTAAATCAATAGATTACAAACATACACATAAAGACATCTGCAGCTTCTCAGTTTTTTTCAGTGTATATGTGTTCTCCACATTTCAAGCAGATAAGGTTTCTAAACTAAAATCAAGACACTTCATACAGGGCAAACATGCCTGGGGTTTTCCCTCTGTAGAGTCTTTACACTAAAAAAATATAGAAAAATAGAGTCTTGAGATGACTGCTGTTGCGAATTATCTTTAAAAATTCAATTGAGTCAGAATTGAGTTTTGCAATAAAAGAGTCCTGCTTGTTGATTTACTATACCCAGAGAAAAGAAGAGGATAAATGACCTGGTTAAAACATCTGACTGTTGTCATATTAATGTTATTACAGCTTTATCAGAGCTGTGAGGTACATTTTTGTGTCCTTTTCAACAGTAGATACCATTTTGCCCTAAAACTGATCAGGTAAATGAAGTATGATCAGAAAGCAGTAGGAAAAAGCAAACAGGGTTTTGTCCTTTTTTAAACATTTTGCATGCTGTATTTGCCAAAATTACAACAGCAAGTTCAAGTATTTGATTAAATGGCATTTTCTCTGTCCGTATTTTAAAATAAATATAAAAAGTCAAGATCCAAACTGCTACATGGCATCAGTTACTGAATTGGCTTACACGTTAACCGCAGCAAAACGGATCATTTCCACCAACTTTCCAGTCATTAAAAGAAATGATAGAAGAATTAAAAACAAATGCAGCTTAATGAGATGGCAGAACACAGCTGGGATCACGAAACAGTCATTCATTCATTTCGCTGTCATTCATGCACACATATCACATCTGTCTGCTGAACTTAAACACAGTCATTTCACTTACAGTAGTTTGAATGTTGGATGAAAAAGAAAACAAAAACAATCAACAAGCATAGAAAATAAATGCAGCGTTATCTCACAATCACACGGGATGTCTGGTGTCCGCTACAACTTTCAAGCAACGCACGCACAGCCACGTCATTCGGTCGACGCGGCACAAACATCCTTCTATCCGTCAGCTTTTTTAAAAAAAAGAAAAAAGGGAAAAAATTTCAATGAGCTTGCATAGGGAAGCGTACAAAAGAAATGAGGCAAGGGGGCGGGGATGGTCAAAAGGTGCAGAGTTTTAAAAGTATGTACACGAGCAAAGAGATGTGCACCCTGTGTAGAGTCGACAAAACGACAAACTGAAGATAACAACCAAAAAAAAAAAGGAAAACAACATAAAATCGAGGCTTGACGGGCCCCTGTGCAGTGAGCGCGTGGGGCTCGTTAGAGGAAAACCGGTGAGCCGGGGCCTTACGAAGACTGCGGCAGTTTTAAAAACGGGGTTAAGTAGGTTGGTACACCTGTGCGCGTCTACCCCCGTGAGGAGGTGAGGGTGACTCAGCAATTGGAGAAAGTCTTAAAGTGAGCTCTGACTCTGGGAGTTCTTGATGTTCTTAATCTCCAGCTCCAGCTGTTTGATGCGTACGTCCCTCTGGTTGAGGAGCTCCCTCAGCCGCCTGATTTCCTCCTGCTGCTTGTGGAACTTCAACCGCAGCTGTGGACAAACACAGGCACAGGATAAGGAGTTAAATCACGGCTCTTGTGCCCACCGGAGACTCGGGGAACACGTCTGCCTCACTTTTAGGCTACAGGCTCAGTTAAACGTCTCTACTACAAACTGCTGCCGTCAAGGTAAAACAAGCCTCGAGTGGAGAAAAACAATAACTAGTGACACATTCACAGTAAGTGGGGTTTTAACGCTGCGGGCGTGCAGTTTTCCACCTGTTTTTACCCCAGCTTTATAATCAAAGATGTAACAGAAACCTGCTGAATCTGAATTTTATCAGTGCATCGTATTTCAAGATGGTACTTCAGTAAAAGCTTCTTTTAAATTTCACACCCGATGCCCTTCCTGATGCAAACTCCAAACGGATTTGTGCCTCCTCTTGTGATCTTGTGATAAGTAAATGTACTTAATATTTTCCACCACTCATTACTCATGATGGATTTAGTTTGTTGTGCCTCTTTGGCCTCACGTTAAAGCAGTCTGAACCTTCTGAGTGCCACGGCTTCTTCAGGTTTCCTAAAAGTAACTACACAGGACCTAAAAACAGCTCAGTGTCTTTAGCGTACTTTCAGAATTTCTCCTCATTTGTGTTTATATCTCTTTACTTGTAACAGTTTATCTTTTTCCAATGACACAACCTTAACTGAAGAATATCCTGGGACATGTACTCGACTTTCAGCGGATAAGTAACAAGTAGGACGCATTTCTATATTTCGAGTCCATTGTAAAGAATAACTGACTAGGATGCAACTAAATATAGCTCATATTGCTTTTACGTCTGCCTTTGTGTGTGTGTGTGTGGGTGTGAAAAAGCAAAACCATCCAGCACCTCATTCTCTGTTCTGGGAGGAGAGCAAAGTGTGGCATCTTCTCCGTTGGTGACGGGTGTCTGAATCCTGTCATCCACTGTGTGGCTGCTGTCCTCTTTGCAGCTGCTGTCCTCTTTGCTTTCTTTGGCTTCCAGTTGGTCCTGAATGTAAGCGAGCTGTAGCATGCACGGTCTGCCCTGAGACCTGCGAGTGTCTAGCGAGTTTTCCAGTGAGTTGCCCACTGCCTTCATGTCTGAGAAGGACTCTGCTATTTGACTTCCTGGCTTCAAAGACATTAGCAATGGACCTAGGAAACAAAGGATGCTGATCAGGGATTTAAAAATGGTAAATGGTAAATGGCCTGTATTTATATAGCGCTTTACTAGTCCCTAAGGACCCCAAAGCTCTTTACATATCCAGTCATCCACCCATTCAAACACACATTCACACACATTTAAACGCTCATTAGACAAGCTAAAAGACTATTGAAAGGATATTCCATTTACCCACATACAAGTGAAGCACCGGAATATCAAAGGTGACAAATAAATGCAATTTCAGAGGCTACTGGACACAAACAGATCTCACGCACAATCTTTCTTTACTTCTAACCTTTGTCCATGCCACCGAGCCACTCCTCTGCAGTCAGAGCAGGCCTGTTTCCAGCCGTCATTGGATAGAGGTCCTCTTGGTACGACTCCGACTGGAGACACGTGCACGGCAGATTCAGAAAAATATTCAACATTAGGTCTGTGAAATGTGTTCAATTTGGATGTTTGTTTTTCTTTGTGCAGTGGTGTCTGCCATTTTTGTGCAACACTTACCCTGCGGGGTACAATCATAGAAAGAGGCTCGATGAGACTCTTGATTGTCACCAGTTTGTAGAACCTGAAGATTTCACAGGAGCTCACATCGAGGCCTCGCTTCGGCATCACACCTGCAGGTTAACACACACAGACGCACACAGATTGTATTCATTCTATTTTCAGCATCAATATTAGTCAAGGTAAGATGTACTGTATTTATATGGGGACTCAAATCTTATTTTTTAAAAACACACTTTCCTCTGTCACCAGGAAATTCACCTGCAGGCAGAGCAGCAGGCAGTTAAAGGTTAACCTGTATCAGAGTAATTTTATAAAGCAGAGCCACTACAATTCCACTTCACTAAGTGCTTTGGGAATTTATAATATACATTTTAACCACAACAAACAGGTGAAATAACAAATCTATCAAGTGCACATGTGACTTTTTTGCTGCCTGTACACCTGACCTGAGCCACAACCCCTTCGATCAGCTGTTTTGGCTATGCAAATATTGGAGGCTTATTTGCACAGCAAATTTGCTTAAAGGTGCACAGTGTCATCACAGTAGGCGGAGTTTCCAAACAGGGTTCAACTGTCATGTCTTTTATTAACACTCACATTAGGAAATAATGTGTCGGTGACATTAATAAAGTTTAAAATTGAGCGCGTGTTTATGTGCATGTGTTCCTTACCCAGTCCTTTCTGAGGTAGTTGTGAGCGGTACTCTGTTAAGAAGTGAATGTATGGTTTTTCTGTGCTGATCTCATAGTACCTGATATTTCCATCACCCTAAAAAGATAAAAAGCGTAAGTCTCTGTAACAGTAACAAAGAATATTTTCTGTATGAAGCTTTTAATATGATTGTTATGATTTGTTTGGGGTTTTTTTTTAACATGTTTCAGAGTCCCACCTTCCCAGCAAGGTAGAGCATGTGTGTGTCGGGGTCGTAGAAAGGAAAAATGACCCCCGACGAACCGTCCAGGTTGTCTTCCAACAAAGGCGCGGACAGATCATCCTACAAACACACACACGAGGATCAAAAACGTGTTAAAACACAAGACCTACGCGGCGCTGATGTAAACAACATACAGAAAATATCAAACACTGACTGAAATCCAATGCTCCCTAAGAAGCACTCTGCAGCGGCGAATTAAAAACACTGAGCGCTCAATCCCTAATCCGAGCTTTGCCTTAATCCTCCACCCACGATACGCTCTAAATCATCACAACACGCCGGCCTGGCACACCAACTATTACTACTACTAGACTACTATGTGTGATGAGACTGGGTGATGACATAATCGCGATGTGACAAATAACTTTGGCTCCACTTGAACACGGGAATCAGTGAGCTGCTCAGGTAAACGTGCAGGGTTGCTGAACTGGTGCATTTCATCCACTAGGTGGCAGAGTTGCACTTGTGACAGGCTCGAGAGGTGTTTGGTAGTGAAGGAAGTATTCTGAGATATCATTAATACAACAACTTCTGACTTTACAAGAAAAAGAAATCCTCAAATGTTGCCAGAAAAACGCTACAAAAAATGTTTCCTTGTGCAAAAAAGGTCAGAACATGAACCTGGCTGCACATCAGATAATTTCACAGGTAAGAAAACTTTATCTCAAAGCTCAGGGGTTTAAATGATGTAGGCCAGGAAATGAAGCTGCCCAAAGTCATGACCTCTCCAATGGTGACGTAATATGCTGACCATTACTTCACTCGTGTTACTATTAATACTCTGTAAGCTTAGATTTCACTTATTTGTGGCCCTTCTGTTGTTGCCAATTTCCCGATTTCTCCTCCTCCTGCAGTCCTGCTAAATTCCCTGGATATAAGTGTTCAATATATTAAACTTAGTACAAATTATTCACACCAGCCTGACTATTTTTAGCCAAGACCGCCCAGGAACAGGGTGCTCTCATTATTCCAGCATCCAGACCAGCAGGTAAGCGCTGAGCTCACAATTACAATTGTTTACACGAATGCTTGTGCTGCGATATTTATTATCCAGAGTCTGTCCTGTCTTTGCAAATCCTCGTCAGAATGATCCTAATTTGATCAGAAATATCTACAAGTTTAACAAGTAATCGATGTGAGGAGTGTCGACTTACAAAAAAAACAAAACAAACATCCCCACCAGACATTTGCTGACATTAATGCTTTTCTTCATCAATTAGCTATTTCAATTAATATTCTATTAGTAATCATGTGTTCAATGTAAATAAACACGTGTGTGAGATCTCAAAAATGCCATTTTTACTATGAACATTTCTCTTTTTTTCCTCAACCTTTTGCTTTGCTACAAAAAACACAAAAGCTTTTTGTAAAATTGTGATATTTTGTTGCAAATGTCTTGCTGCATTGCTCTGTAACGTCTCTCACCTGATCCCACAGTGCTATCTGCCGATCATTGTAGCGCGACGTTCCCGACGTGAGAAGCATCTTGGTGTTTCCCAAGATCAGCACTTTATTGGCTCTGTGCGTCTTGCAGTTGCTTTCCTGCAAACGTGACATAGTACACATGATGTGCAGCATTAATCAGTGAACCCTGATGAACATTTATGCCACTTATAAGTCATATAAAGAGGTTTGTGTTACACTACTGGGATGTAATATGTGTAGGAGTTCCCTGACTGGGCAAAGGAAGCAAGAAAAGACTGATGAACAGTGTGTGAATCACTAGCTGGTGACCCGGTGGGCTGTGGGGCTACTCTGTTATCCAGGCCAGGCCAGAGGTATCAATTCTGGCTGTGTGGTGCTGGATGAGTGCCTGGGTGCCCACGCAGGGAGCGGAGGGGGCAGTAACAAGTAGGGAACTCCCACTTATGTAATATTTGCTGTGATGCTACTGTGGACCAAACGCAGGCTTACAGTTCAATAATTTTCTTTTACAAATGAGAGCCAATTTAGACAGATTGTCACATGGACTTTACGCTGGTCTGAACTTCCTACTGTTAAACGATACCATTTGCAGCTTCTGACTGAGGTAATTAAACTTAAGTCTGAGTCTTCCACCTAAAATCAAAGTGTTTAAATTCAGATCACTTGCTGTTTTCCCCCCATTACAAAAAAAGGGAAGATAAGAGAAGTGCACACGTGCACACAGCAGTACCCGCAGCAGCGTTCCAGAGCGCGACTCCATCAGGCGGACTTTCCTGTCCTTGCAGGTGGTAGCAAGAAGACTTCCATCTGTATTGAAAGACATGGACAAGACAACATCTGGGTGGTGACTGATGGTCCGCACGGGGTTCTTTATCACCGGCTCCGGACAGTCCAGGTTCCAGATCATTATCTGGAGGCGGAGAATCACACAGAGATCAACGCAGGTGGTTAGGCCAAGAAGTCAAACACATTAAAGGGTGGAAAGTAACTGGTGGTGTGCTACAAGTAAACCACTTTGTATCAAAAAACAACGATGCACTGACATCACCAACGTACAATTAAGCCGCTCAGAGGGCCGAGTAATTACAGAGAGTGGTACATAACGGTTGTGCGAATGGACATAACAGTGCATACTTTGCTTATCTCAAAGGAATTTGTGCTATTGCACTCAGCTGTGTGGATGAAAAGAGGCAGAATTGTTTAAACATGGGAGGCCAGCATGTGTGCAAATACAGGCAGTAACTGGAGCACGTATCTCTGGAGTTAAGACATCGCACCTACGGCCCAAAACGATCTGAATACTTAGGCTAACAAACAAAGTGCTCGTGATGCTGTGTAATGTAATATCTGAAATCTTTACAGGTCAGTTCAGTGTGAACTGCAGGGCTGCACTGTGACAGATAAGTGCTCTCGGTTTAGGTCACAGTGCTTTCGGAGTTCATGCCTCGTTATCTTATTGTCTATAAATGACTCCAGGCTTGTGTAAGAGGTGGTGTGTGTGTGTGTTACCTGGTAGTCATAGGCAGTACTGAAGAGGATGTTGTTAGCAGTTGGGTGCCACTCGATGAGGCCCACTCTGCGACTGTGACCCTGGAGCTCCTTCCACGGTACTGTAATGTTTTTATACACACCGTGAGGAGGGATTTCCCACACTTTAACCTACAAACACACACAAAGAGGACCAAATTGATGAAGATCCGTGCCAGAAAGAAACCATCTCTTTCTCAATCCACAAAGAACAGCCAACAGAGAAAGACATTTAAAAGAAATAGCCTGAAACTAGGTTTTTTCCTCTCTCTCTACAGTGATTTGTTCTGAGCATCTGCCAGGTCAGAGCTGAGGAATGTGAGGAATGACTTCTAGCTCCTTTCTGAAGGCTATAAAATGATCTCCCTGCTGCAACATGCTCAAATCCCATGAAAATGACAACACGTCAGTAAACCTCACTGAAAATGGACTCTGTGTGCGTTCCGGTGTACAAACCGTGGCGTCCTCGGAGCAGGAGGCGATGCAGCAGTCGTTGAAGGGATTCCATTTGATGTCTAACACGTTGCCCCTGTGGCCCGACACTCGAGGTTGCTGAGGGTCCACTTTACCCGTCTGGCAAAATTTAAAACACAAAACATGGACATTAGGGAAAAATCACAATATTTTTCCTCTTGGAAACAAAAGTGAAACCACTAATCAGCTGCTCGCTACACTGTGGAATGAGAAATCCTTCTCCTCACATATCCTGTTATGAATAATCGGGCCCCATCTTATCTCACAGACGGACGGACGCCCTCTCTACTTTTAAAGCTTACAGTTAGGGCTGATTCAGGTGACCTTGAACTTTAGTTATGCTAAAATAGGCCTGGGCTGCTGAGGTCTCCCATGATGCCCTGTGTGTTCCTTATTCACTCACCTTTTTTTCCACATTTATTTGTTTATACACCACTTTGCATTTAATCATTAGTTATCATTAATCTCCGTCTCTCTGCGTGTCTTTTGTCCCATCTTTCTCTCCACACCCCCAACTGCTCATGACAGATGGCTGCAACTCCCTGAGCCAGGTTCTGCTGGAGGTTTCTTCCTGTTAAAGGGGAGTTTTTCTTTCCCATGGTCACCAACTGCTTGCTCATAGGGAGATGTCTGATAGTTGGGGTTTCCTTTCTACTTTTGTAGGTTCTTTACTTTATAATATACAGCATCTTACACACACACACACACACACACACACACACACACACACACACACTGACACGAAATAATATAGGTCGGGTTGACGCAGCCCACAGTGACTTGAATGGCATGGAAAGTCGTAGTGTAGGGTTAAGAGGAGTTCCCGGTTAAGTTAGGATGCAGATTTCCCACAGAAGTCTAAATCAAGCTTTATCCTTTATCTACAGTAACTGGCATGTAGTGACCATAACCCGAGCTGCACAGAACCAACATATAGAGGAAGGAAAGAGACGAAAAACAAAAAAGGCAGCCTATTTAAAAACATGCAAAAATAACAATTTTGCACTATACTGTACATTAAAACAAACTGTGCCAGCAGTCCCCTGAAGTGCCCTTGAAGGTTATGTTTGTAAAAATCACAGAACTGGTGTCTGTAATTTCAGAGTTTTTTTGTTGCTCAATCCAAGAAGTCGAGCTGCCCACATAAAAAGCAGTTTCCTTGACCTCTGTGCAGCCTTGTTACAGAGTTTGGAGAGCTCAGGCTGCCTCTATATACTTCTAACAGCTGAACTTTTTCTTTTGGCCAATTGTGGGCAGTGATATAACCTATCGACGTTAAACTGAGTGAATGTATGATAGAATAACATTAGCATTCACCTGGAGTTGCGTTTGTCGTCAGCCAGTGAATTCAACTGTTTTTGTTTGGGGGGGGTTTTCTCTACCAACTCCTCTGGGAAAATATCGGGATTTAGCTGCTAAGTGATGCTAAATAGGCAGTCAGCTATGTTAAAACCTAAAACTGATGAGAAATTAGAACAAAACACGAACAACAAAAGCCCAGACAGGCACTAAAAGACGTAGACTTTTGCTTTAATCTGAGTGAAACTGCAGATTTGGCGTTAATATCTGCAGGTCTGCCTGTATAAACATCTTCTTACGCACTGAGTGAATTTGGTGCTTATAAGTATTCCATCTATTTAGTCACAGCTCATCATAAACAGACTCATAATGGACAATTTTAAAAAAAAAAGAAAAAAGAAATCAAACCAGGAGAGCCAACATTTCAGTCTGAGATGCTGCTGCATTATGCAGCTAAGTAATCTGTAATGTAGCAACTCCACACCAGATTTTTCTTTTCCCCTTTACTTTGAGACTTGTACCTTGTGGCTACAACCACACTCGAGTGACATCCCTTGAGGAGGTTTATGAGAGCTGCCTCTGGAACCACCAAAGGTAAGTGAAAATTCCATGTATCTAAACACGACGTGCTAACATGTGCAGGTTAGGGTGGGTATTTTCATTCAAGAAAAAAAGCCAACTCTACATGACAACATGACAACTAACTACTCAGACTGAAGGTGGAATTACACTAACTGTTTTTAACAGACACACACACCCAGTGATACTCGTACAACGCGGAAGATTTTCCGCCTCAACAAGCCGGCTAATTGTTCCATTCGTATAAGCCGAAGCTCCTTTAAACTGACATTCCTGCTCAATAATCTAGCCTGTAGGTGCGTAAGGTGTGTTTGAAACAAGAAAATGACGTAACCATTATTTAAACTTCCAGCGAGCCCAACGCATGCACGCAAAAAAGTATTACATCTGCTCCTGTTTTTATATGCATTAACTACTTTCGTCACAGAACAACAGCTCATCTGTAACAGGCAGAGGTGGGATGTGGAGGCGATTGAGGGGAGGGAGTGCTGAAATTTCACATCCTTTGAATAGTGAAACGGAGGGGAAGAGAGGGGTCAGAACGTGAGTTATGTCATTCCTAAGCTCCTATGCAACTCTTACCCATGCCAGGAGGATGGTGATAACTCAAACTGAGAGGCAAAGTAAAGAGAGGTGTGGAGCTTGATGAATCCCTCTGGACTGGAGATGTACAGAGAGACAGAGGATCTGTTTAGAACGTGAGGGCCGACTTTTATTTGTTCTGCTGTTGTGGCTGACATCAGCAGTGGATGTCATAACACGCATAAATCATGTGTGAAAGAGTGAAGGGGGAATGAGACAGACTAATGATGTGATATTTAGGTTGTAGCACATGAGCAGCCAGGGTTGTACTTTATTTAGAGATTCTTCAGGCTGTGTTAATGCTGAGCTATTTATAATCAGACCCAGGTGTGTATATCCATGCAGGGAGAACAAAAAAGAAGAAAGAGATGGTGAACAATTAGCAGAGACAATTCTGCCCTCCAAAACGTTCACTTTATCTGAGGTTAGAAGAAAAATGCTGAGAAGCGAGAGCTTTTTGGCTGATCTTTGCTCAAACATGTGCGAAATCTTTAGCGTGGTGAAAGTTCAGAAGGGCCATTTTGTTTTTGAATATATCTGTGAAACCAGAAAAGGAACAATCACGCGAATCCATTTTGAATATCACTACAGTCTATAGTGCTCTCAGAACAGTTTTTTCAATAAATTTGGATAATGCAACCCTTGTGCTCTCTTGGGAAACAAGTTAAAGTTTGAAGAAATTGATTAAAAAAAATTCAGACATCTGGGAAACCTTTTTAAAACAGCCTAAAAAAAATGAAGAAAAAGAAAGCGATGGAAAAATTGTTTGATTTTTTTTGTGTGGAAATCCTCATTTGTTTGATATGGCCTCAATCACGCATGCTGGCGATCTCCTAGCAACCACTGGTCGCTAAAAAAGAACTGTGCTTTCCTCAACTGGCTGCCGAGTGGTTGCTGAAGGTCACGTGCTGTTGCTAGGTGGCATTGGTCACAAAGAAAGTGCTGCACGAATTCCTTTAGTTACTAGCGTATTCCCACAGTCGCCTGTAGTTTGCATAGAAGGCGCAGACTTGTCTGCAAACACTCTTCAACTACTCACCAAGTGGTAGTGAAACTGTGAAAATGTAACACAAACAGGAAATGCAGACCATGTCAAGTACCCTCTTTGTGACTGATCTCACCCAGCAACCACTTGCAAACCAGTTGGGGAATACACATTTTTCCCTAGCATTTGTTGCTTGCCAGGAGGGCCCTGACCTGTCTGTAGATCTGCATGTCTGAGGCCTTAGATATTAACAGCAATGTGACATTATTCTAAGGAACAACTAATGCTCATACAGTTAATCCAGTGTTTTCTTTATTCTAATAACTGAGATCATGTTTGTTTGCTTTTGCCTTCAATTTATCAACAGTAAGAGATGAAGCTGTCTATGCCATTGCTAGTCAAAAGAAGCAATTTTTAAGAACCACATTAAAGTGAACTTTTTCACTTTATCTTCTGAGAAATGTGACAAGTTAAGAGACAGCATTTCTGCAGACCAACTACCTGTACACCTAAAATCTCTTCCATAATGTCACAACGTTTTGCTCACTGTTTTTTGTTTAATATATGGACTTCATCTGTAACCCAGCCAAAAAAATCCTCAGATTTGCTGAGATGTTGTTTCATTGGGACAACAGCTGCCACTTAGAAATAAAGCAGACACACAGTATTTGAGTCATTCCTAACTAGGAGTCAGAGGTGCTCAGTTTATGTCTTTTGTCTGACTGGAACAACACAAGTGGGAAAAAAAATGGCACCTTATTCTTGTGTCTTCTCTGCATTATGAGGTAAATGCTGACATACTGCTCATGTCATGGCTCATGCCTGTGAACCTGATGCGAGGTACAGATACTCACATGATGGACAGACAGGACCAAGAAGGCCCCTCCTCCAGCACACTCAGTGATGACAGCCAGGAAACGTGGGTTGATCGCACAGAAGCTGTTGTCCTGCACACTGCGTGTGATTGGCACGCCATCAAAGCAGTTCTCCTTGGTGGCAGCTTTACCAAACACGTGGCGGAACTTGGAGCTGCGGTACTGAGGACGCCATGTCATCTGAGGGAAGGGCGAGGAGAAGAGAGGTCAGCCAAGGAGAGCCATCCATCGCACAGTTATGAAGACAGAGGATTTTATAGGCACTAAGTCTCCTGGTCCACAAGCACAGGAGGGTATTATTTAATGGTAGATGTAATAAGACAGGGAATTGATAACAAAACTAACACTCGCTGCTCCATAAGAAGTGCAAAATTAAAAAAAACTCTTAGAGCGTTCGCCTTATCTCATACTTTGTGACACAGACCTTTCAGATCAAAGCAGCGATGGCTTCACTGGTAAACCATAAAACAATAAAAGCAGCACAGATTTTATTTCAGTATCAGAGGTGGTCAGTCACGTCTCAGATAAAAAGCATGACACAAAAACCAGCGTGTTAAAGTATAAACAATAAAATAAAAACATGTTCTGCAGGGTTACTGCAGCATCTATGGACCATCAAACAAACAGTAAAAGGGGGGTTAACTTAATTAAGGAATGACACCATATGCATCATGGCAGACGGATGTATGAAGGGTTGCTCTTTAACCAAAATATAGTTCTCAAACTCACTGACAGAAAGTGTACACTAAACATCATTCAAAGGAATTAAAAACCGCTTTGAAGGTAGAAAAAATTATTTTCTGTTGTAAACAACAAAAACGTTTTTACCTCAAATATCTGCTAATGACTTTTTTCTAACTTATGTGGGCCATTTTGCCCCTATTTAATATGAACTAGGTGCACATAGGTAGGAAAAGTGGGGTTAAAGATCAATAACATGAGCAAAGAGACAAGTCCACCAGGGAAGTCTGCTGTCTACAGTCCATGTAAGTATGCACCATCAGCTCTATCTATTCCAAAATATGTGCACTGACTTTATCACGTCCCAGGTCCCAGTCACGCAAGCCTACAGACTCGTTAACAACCAGTCGCTAGTGTAAAATGTGTATTCCCCGAATGGTTACAGTGGTTGGTGGCAATCATTGTTAAATCCATTGCTAAAACACTAAAACTCAAATAGGCCTATAGACCAGTCAGTGACCCCTTCACTCAACCACCAGTCGCTATGGAAAAGTGTATACTCCTGGATCTGTTGGGGAGTGGTGGCTCGAATTTGCTTGTGTGAAAATCGCTGCACCAAAAACCTCCTTTTGGTCACTATCAGGTTACCAAGGTTGCTAGTAGTTTGCATGGAAAAGAACTTGCAAATTACTCAGAGTGGTAGTGAAATGGACACAGTTTCCCTTCAAAGAAAAAGCTGCACCTTTACCACTACAGCAGTAATGCACAACTTTTACTCTGAGGTCAAACCATCTCTTTTTCCGGTTAGTATCACATTTTTTCAACTTTTACTGCCGCTTGCAGAGTAATGAGAGTATCTATTGGTGACCGTGGTATCCTGCCAGCAACTAAAACGATCACATGGTGGGTTTTGGATCAGAACCCTCTATGCAACGAGGTAGCATGTTACTTTACTAAATTTAGTAATTATATTAATTACTATTACATTGTTACTTTCAAGGAATACCCATGTTTCCCTAGCGACCAGTGGTTACCGGGTAGATCACTGATTGGACTTGTGGCCTGTGCGACTGAGGCATTAACGTAAAATGTCAAGTAGGACAAAGAGGGAAAATACTCAGGTCAACCTCAGGACACAAGCTGTCTCAAGCCAAAAGTGCATAACTTGTGGCGTTCCACAGGGTAGTATTTTAGTCCCATTTTTATTACCATTACGTGTTAATGGATGTAGGTTTTGCTTGTTTTTATATGCCAATTATTTAGCGTTTCTTTTCCAAGGAGACTGTGGCTAAACAATTTCTGAGCAAACCGCCCGGCAGTAACTGGTAGATAACTTCTCACTTCATTTGGAAATAGGCTACAGTGCTTGGGTTCCATGTAATAAGTCAGCACAACGTATTAAATAATGATGTAATGAAACAAGTCCACAAACAGACACATCATCATTTTATTGTTTTTTGGCCATTTAAGGTCGGTGTACTTCTAGCGAGCATCCAAACTACAATATAAAAACAGTATGTAGTGCTCTCCATGTTAGTACTTCAAAGCATCCAAGAAAGAGTTACATCTAAAAATAGATAAAGACACCACTGAGCTACTGAACATGAACGAAATGTATCAAGGTAGAAAATGTGAGCAGCTCAGAGCTTCGTTTTTAACAACCATCTTTGATCTATTTTAAGCACATCTGGTTTTATTTTTAGGCTTATAAAGCTAGTTATGAAAGGCTAACTAGAAGTGTAACAATCTACCTACTGGAAATGGTTGGGAGAACATTTTCACTTTCGCTTTTGTTTCATATGAGCTCATCTGTGTATATGTTGTGAATGACAATATCCGCAGTAAAGATTTTAATTGTATTTGTATCACATACACATTCTTTTTCCTAACCAGTGTCATCAAAATGTATTACAGCTCTCAATAAAGTCTACTACACTTAATGTATGAGGAGTGAAAAACCTGCAATACTTTCCCAATCCGGACTCTCTTTTTAGCCGCTTCCCCTTAAGCCAGTCGATGCATATGTCATTATTGTGAGAGATAAGTGGCTCTGCTCCACTGGGACGAGGTCTGGCCAGCCAGCATGTCTGCTCTGCTGCTCTGGCTGGCTTTCCGCCTGCCTGCTGCATGGTCATTACTTATGAATTAGGGGTGGAGGCGGCTGATGGACAAGAACGCAAAAATGGATTCAACCAACAAAGTATAGTAAATGGAGAGAGCGATTAGAGAGCTACAGGAACATCGAAGAACAAGAACAACAGCAGTAGGAGGTGGAGGTATAAACCCATTACAGGTTTGTGTTTTCCTACAAATCGCACCTACAGCAAATCTTGTCACTGAAAACAGTGACATCATGCTCCTGTTTTATGTGGACTGCCCTCTGGTTTTTCACATGATGGCTAAATAAATACATGGTGAGCATGATGCAGGTGTGGCTGGAAAGAGGCCGAGGAAGGATTTAGACCAACAGAAGGAAAAAAATCAGGTTTAGAGAAAGCAAAAAGAAAGGAAAGAAGAATGCTACAGAGGTGTGGAGCATGACTTCATGGCTCAGTTTACCCTTCCACCTCTCACCTCCTAGCCCGAGGCCGTCACAGAGAGCCTCGTACTGCCACACGGGAACCTGAGAAGGATTTAAACTACTCAGGTGTTTAAGACTCTGATTGCCACTCAGGCGTTCATCAGTCACATCCATGACTGCGATTACCACAGTTACCTTGTCAGCAATTGCTGCAATAACAAAAAGACATTCCGCTCATCCTCAACCTAAATGCTTAAAATAGAGTAACTTGAAAAATGGTGTCTCTTTTCTTTTGCTAAAGCTTCTCCTAAAATTGATCACAGATAAACTCATTCATCTAAAATATCCAGATTTTTCACAGGGCCACGTGATGCATTTTCAAATCTTATCCAGTCCAGTTTAATTTTTATTTTTTTATTATAGCAGATGCAAAAAGAAAAGAAAAAAAAAAAAAAGCAGCAAATCTGGAAGATACTTGAACAAGCAAGTTTGAAGTCTGAGTCTGCAGCTGTGAGGGCAGCTCTGTGAGCAGTTACTTTAATAATAAAAATAATAACGGATTGCATTTATATAGTACTTTTCAAGGAACCCAAAGCGCTTTTTACAATTCCACTATTCATTCACTGTCACATTCACACTCTGGTGGAGGCAAGCTACGGTTGTAGCCACAGCTGCCCTGGGGCAGACTGCCATATCGTGCCATCGGCCCCTCTGGCCAACACCAGTAGGCGGTAGGTGAAGTGTCTTGCCCAAGGACACAACGACCAGGACAAAGAGCCCAGGGACAGACCCCCTGAGCCACGGTCGCCCTCACTTTAGGAGTTCATATGCTAAAATGCAAGAGCAGATGCTATATTGCTTACACACACACAGAGAGTATAAAAATGCTGAAATAATTTAAAGCAAAATAAAGCAAGAGGCTCTTCATAAAATTGTGACCATGTGAGATATACATTTGGACCAAATTTAATCCAGAAACACCTCCTGGTTTTGATAGAAAAGCCGTGAACACCCACAAAAAGTTGATGCCAGTCCACTCACTGGAATAACGGTTAATATACAGTACATGTCTAAATTAACTGTGATATAAAAAAAAAATGAATGGAAACCATCTTACAAGGGCTTTAATTAAACCAGTAGGATTATTTTACTATTACCGTTCCCTGCTGTGCACTCCCCTCACTCAATCTGACCGCTGTCTCTGAAGACGAGCCCGCGTAATGCATCCGTCAGCCAGCCTGAACCACACACTCGACCTGTTCGTAAAGCGTGTGCAAAAGTGAGATTGTCGCTCAGTTCATCATGGAAAAATGACTCAGCCCCACCATACCAACGCATGATGCTCAACTAGCCCCTCTGATAAAACCCACATTTTTCATTTCGAGCAGTGACTGTATTAAAAAAAAAACAAAAAACAAAAAAACCAAAAAAAAACCACCCTGAAACATTATTTTTGGTGGAGCTATAATTTCAGATCACGTGTATTCGTTTATGGCTGTGCTACAGTATTGTTTGATCCATTTGTGTTGTTGGTAAAATGACACATCATGAGACTGAGAAAAGAGAAGAAAAAAACCCAAAACTGTGGACTGACGGTTTAAAAATTAGCCCATGTTTGGGGGCTAATGCTCAGGTCCTGCTCTACTATACAACTGTCATTTTAGCCCATTGTTAGGTGGGTGCCAAGAAAATCATGGTGTCATAATACATTATATATAATCATATTATTCAAATTTTGTGGATATAAATTAGAGGTGACTGTTGTAAGATGTGTGTTAACTCCTGATCACGTAGTAGGTTCACAGACAGAGATTTAGTGTATTAATATCAGATACTGTAATCAAATCACTTAAAAAATACATATTTTCCAAGTTATTTTTGCTGTAGGTCGTGCACACTGTGCTACAGTGCGAGTTACGTAACTTCTAAAACTGCTAGTTGAAAGTTGTTCCCCACACACTGTAGTAACTTTAAAAAACAATGTTTGTATAGTTATAGTTCCATGTTAAAGTATGGACTGCTTAAAGTAGTTTAAATATTAAATTAAGTTGAAACACTGAAAACATGACAGATGGCACCGCTAAAGCTTATCTCACAGATTCGTTGATGTCTGAAGGTGGAAGCTTAGTTTTGAAAACAAATTCATGGTGATTATCAGGTTTTTATGACATCTATTCTGCTCTATCTGCTCCGTAACAAAAAACCTGTTAACTTCCTTACTGGAAGTTAAATAAACCGAACTGTAAATATGCCAGACAGCCATAAAGGTGTGAGGGGAATTCAGTCATAGAACTGTTAT